AATCTTCATTAGGCTAAGAGAAATAAGGCAGCCACCAAAGGATAAATCCTATATGATTCTCCTTWTATGAGGTATCTAGAGAGTGGTCAAAGTCATAAAGACCGAAGTAGAATGGTGGTTGTAAGGGGCTGGGAGGAGGGAGAAATAAAAAAGTTATTGTTTACTGGGTGCAGAGCTTCAGTTTTGCAAGTTGAAAAAATTTATGTGAATGTGTGGTAATGACAGATTCAAAACAATGTACTTAATGCAAATTAACTGTATACTTAAAAATGGTCAAAATGATAAATTTTAGGTAAATTTTAAAGATTAGAAAATATTTATTCTCCAAGTAAAAATTTAAAAATAGTTGATTACAAATTTTTTGCCCAATTTTCAGAGAAAAATCTTTTCTATCATACTTTAAAACTTTATATTATCTATGACTTACCTGTTCTTTAATATAAATAGAAGAAAATAAATGAATAGGCAGCATATCAGCATCAATGAAAAACTTTATGAGTTTCACTAGTCATACCTTGGCAGTTCTGGGAATATATAAATTCTCATGGCTATGATTTTAATATTCCAGGCATTCAAAAAAAACTCATTTTATTGTGATTTGAAAATAAAAATCGTCTTCAAAACCAACCAACCAACCAACCAACCACAATCACCCAGTGACATTTTTACCCATAGTGTGACAATCCAGGAAATCTATTTTAATTGCTCTCAGCTGTGTAAAAGGTTATAAGAGCAAGTTTAATTTTAATAAGAGAAAAATTACTTTATAATTAGGAGTCTCCTATTGGGAATAAGRACCCAGAGTAGAGTTATAACATCATTTCCCATCTTTATGGTAATTTAAAATGTACATAATAATTTCAAATACAAGATTTCATTTGACCCTCATGTGTATCCCATTAAAGATAGGTTTTAATATAGCAATTTTAAGAATAAGAATACAATTTAAGTGATTTGACCAAAACCTGCTCACTACTAAGAGGCCAGAGCCCAAGTCCAAATCCATTTTTAAATTTCCCTAAACCTTAAATTTAGCTCTCTAGTCAAAGGTTTATTGATCTGTGAGGTGTCCCAAGGATGAAGAAATGCCCACAGCTTGGGGATCAAGGGCAGCAGAAAGGCAGGTACAGGGCACACAGCGCACTGCCTCAACCACAAAGTATGATGCTTGACATGTCTACCACCTACCACTCAGGAATATCTATGAAAATCAAGGGAAATTAAATTCAAAAATATTTAAAAAGCAAAGTCACTTGAAAGGCATGATTTCCAGGATACTAAGATTCTATGGTCATGGAGACAGTTGAATGTGGAATATGAGTGTGTATGCAAAAACAAAAAACCAAACATGACTGGTGTCCAAAGTGGGTTGGAGATATGACAAACTGATTTTATTTGTTTATTTATTTTTTAAAATTTTTTGGTGGGAAAGCAAATTTGCATTTTGCCCAGGTCCCAAAGAGACACTGATCTCTGAGTTCAAGATGCTAAAGGAAGAGATAAGAGCCTTAATGAAGGAGCTCTAACTGAGTGTGCTAGAGGCTGAATATTAAATTAAATACATAATCAAAGGCATAGTGGTATACTTAGTCTAATTCTGGAGGGCACCAAGGAAGGATGGGGCTGAAGGATCTGCTAAGCCTAGACACTTCCTTCATCAGCCCAAGGTTTCACTGCTTCCTGACACTGGAGGCCTGTCTTCCTTTGTTCATTTCAAAAAGTGGGTGGGAGGTCTCGCTGGGGGTTGGCACAGACACTGATGGAAGGCTGTGAAGCCAGCAGTCTGGTTGTCTGGGTGATGGGGACAAATACGGAGGGTAAGGGGCTGCCAAAAGGCTTCTAGCCTCAGATTCCATTTCATTCATGCATCTGATCTGCAAATACTGGCAGAGTGCTGACCCTGCCAGGCAGAGTTCTTGGTACTGGTGGTGCAGTGTTGAATAAAACTCAGAAGTTCCACCTGCCTGAGGACACTGACGTTCTGATGAGGAAGGACAGATGATAAAGAAAAACCAGACAATATCCTGGTACGTGCTATGAAGAAAAAAGCCAAGAGGCATGACTGAGAGTTCTCTTTGGACCATAAAAGGTCAAATAACACTCAGAAATAGAACTTTCCAGGCAGAATACCAGCAAGCACAATGGCCCTGAGGTGGGAACAGGCTTATCTTGTTGAAGAAAAACAAGATTGAAGGGAAGAGTGCTCTGAGCTGAGATTAGAGGGGGAGCCAAGGGCCACGTCAGTTGGGGCCTTGTAGGTCACAGTAAGAAGTATGGATTTTATACTCAGTGACATGAGAATTCACTGAAGAACAAAGAAGCTACATGTTTGACTGAAGTTTTCTTTTTTTTTTTTTTTTTGAGAGAGAATTTTAATGTTTATTTTTCTTAGTTTTTGGCGGACACAACATCTTTGTTTGTATGTGGTGCTGAGGATCGAACCCAGGCCGCACGCATGCCAGGCAAGCGCGCTACCGCTTGAGCCACATCCCCAGCCCCTGACTGAAGTTTTCAATAGACAAGTCTCATCTGACAGACTGAAAAACAAAAAGGACACTTGAAATTCTATTAAAATTTCCTATTTTAATAGTTTTTTTCTTCTTTTCTTTTGAGATGAGGTCTTACTAAATTGCCCAAGAAGGCCTTGAACTTGCAATTTTTCTGCCTCAGCCCATCAAGCAGCTGGGATTACAGGCCTATGCCACAGTGCCCAGCATTTTTTTTTTTTTTTTTTTTTTTTTTTGGTGGGAGGACTAGGATTGAATCCAGTGCACTCTATACCCCAGCCCTTTTTATTTATTTCAATTTTGAGACAGAGTCTTGCTAAATTGTCAAGGCTGGTCTCCAACTTGTGAGCCTCCTGCCTCAGCCTCTAGAGTTGCTGGATTATGGGGCACTGCACCCAGCCATGCCCTGCTTTTCATAGATTTTCCACTAAAATCCAAGAGGAGTTCAAGAGTATATAAAAGTCACTTTGTATTAAAATGTGTACCACTAATACTTTCTTTTCAACCTTATTATTTTATTTATTTTGGTGGGGTTCTTTTTTTGGGGGAGGGGGTCTTCTTTGGAACYAGGGATAGAAAACAGGGCTTTGTGAATGCGAGGCAGGTGCTTTGCCACTGAGCTACATACTAGCCCAACCACTAGTACTTTTGCAGGAATCCTCCAGAATGAAAAAAGTACAGAGGATCAGGAAACAGGAACAAAAACAATAAGGAGGGCAGAATGGCAGTCAGCTGGCTCTGTCGTCCCCAGACTTATCTCTACAACCTGTAGGAAATCTTCTGAGCCCTAGACATGTGCCTCTGGTTCCCCAATCTTGACCCAAAGGACTCCCGTGAGTTGCAGAAAACAGCTATTTGCCCCAGGGCCCTTATTGTCTATCCTGGGCAAAGAGACCATCTTTCTAGCTCCTGTAGCCCATGAGCCATCTGGGCAACAGCAAATCAAGAAGCTGAAAGTGTGTCAAAGAGACAACACCTCTATAACATCTTTCCCTTGTTGATCCCAGGACTGGCAGAACAGGGAGAAGAGAGGCCCAGGGTTTCATTTCCAATCTTCTGCACAAAATTGTCCAAGTATTGCCAGATATAAGTGAAATGTTTAAGAGAAAAAAAGGGCCTACATTTGATTCTTTTCTTCCTTTTTCCTTAACCAACATCTATTAAATCATTCCTTGTTGATTTTAGATATTTTTGAGCTATATCCAGGTGCAGCAAGCAATAAAGTTACAAAAAACTACTGATCAAGGCTGCATTTGCTTCTCTTAGAAGGGTCAACAAATTGCCTAATGAAACAAGAGCTATCTCTGTACCCTTGCTGCAACCTGTCTTTGTTAAGTAGAGGGTAGGAATATCACAATCACTTCAAATCTTGAGGCAACCAATTGAATATCCTTAACGTTTTGGGAGAGAAGAAAAACCAAACCAATTCCTAAATCAGTTCAAGGTCAAGACTCAGAAGTGGTAAAATCAGGAAAAAAGGAAAAATGAAGCAAAATGACTGCCAGCTGTGCTAAGGAGTTGAAGTTATTTATTTTTTCATAAAGGCAGACTTTTTTTTTCATCACAACCCCCCACTTCAGCTACCCTTCCCCCACCAAAAAAAAAAAAAGAAGAAGCAGGGAGGGTAGCAGGAGAGAATTTCTGGCATTCATAAGCTCCAAATGGAAAATGTTCAATTATTATTGCAAAATTAGTTTCAATCAGAACACACTAACCATTTCTTATTTTTTCAGACTGCTTATTTTAAAATCAGTTATGTGGAAAATTGAAAGGAATATTTGAATTCCTGCAGTTCAACTTACTTCACACAGAAGGTTTTCAGGTAGTGGTGGAGTCTGGAAGGGAACCTAAGTCTCCAGACTCAGGTTCCCTGTCAACTCTTATTATGTATTTTTAGAATACAAAGTAAAAGCACATTACAGAAAATAGAAACTGGACAAGAAGTCACCCACAATCCCATCATCATACTATATCCACTATATATATTTTGTTTCTTTTTCTTTCTTTCTTTTTAATTTTTTTTAAGTTGTAGGTGGATATAATCTTTATTTATTTATTTTTATGTGGTGCTGAGGAACGAACCCAGTGCCCCCTGTGTGTGAGGCAGGCACTCTACCACTAGCTACAACCCCAGCCCCTATATTTTGTTTCTTTATCACATGCTTTACAGGTCCCACCACCACATTCTTTTAATCATATTCTTTCTGATACACCAGCCTCCCAAATTACCATAAACACAACTGAGGATAAAAAAGAGAAGACTGATATGAGATGGGATCCAATTTGGTATAACATGAACTAATTTGATTATGTTTGCTAAGGGCTGGTACCCTCCAAGATAAGTCTGTCCCTCTTGCTGAGACACAGTAATAATTATACTATTAGGGCTTAGAATTCAGACCCTTTCCACAGGGCATTTACAATATAATTCTACAGAGGTCCTAGGACATAGGAATAAAGCTACTTAACCTTAGATCAGCTCTATTCACCCACCTGGTGCATCAGGTACCTGAAGAGGAATGAAAGGATCAGAAACGCTTAGAAGTGGGACAGCAGAATCCACAGTTTGCCCACCCTTCCTTTTCTCAGCTGGTATTGGTTGGAGGGAAAGAGATTAGGAGAGAAAAAAAGAAAAGCAGAAAACAGCAAGTAAATTGAGATGAATTAACCAAATTATAGAGTAAGTCTAACAAAATTTTTTTAAATGGTACTAGAGATTGAATTCAGTACTTATCTCTTTTATTTATTTTATTTTGAGACAAGATCTCACTAAATTGCAGAGGCTAGACTTGAACTTGTGATCTTTCTGCCTCAGCCTCCCTATTAGCTGGGATTATAAGTGTACACAAGGGAGTAAGTCTAAATAATCTAGGGTTAACAGCAAAATATCTATGAGATATATTATGTGTTCGTTTATGTTTATGAGATGTGGTGAGTACTCAAACCAGGATATTCTTATGCCTAAGCTTCTATGTCTTCCTTGAACACTGTAGCCTATAGGGATCCCTTTCAGAATTCCTATGGGATTATTGTCCATATCATACATTTGGTATGCAGATACTAGCACATGTGTATAACTGCTTGCCCTGTACCTATCACCTCTTGGAGGCCCTTTGGGAACTAAGTCTTGTTGTATCATCATAATATTTAATAAAGTGCTAGGCAGACACAAAGGAAGAGGCAGAAATAGAGTTCCTGCATACTACAAGGGTTAGATAAGCCCTGACCCCTGTACCATACCTACCCTACTACTGGCATTCATTCTATATTTGGCAAATTCCAAATTTCTAAAAATCTATATACCCTAAAGAATATCAGAAGAGATCTTAGAATTTTCTAGCACAATTTTCTTATTTTCCAGAAAAGAAAATGAAACCCCAATTAGGAGACAAGCCAGAGGTCCACTAGCAGAGCAGAACTCAGGTTTCTTGGTTTTTTTTATATTATACTTCAGTATTCAGCTTGTTCATTAGTCATAATTTCATTTTGCTTTTGATAAAATATGTTTAACATTTTTTTATGTGAAATAATTAAAGAATCAAAGGAAAGTGCTGTAGGTAGAGCCCTGTGAACTRAGCCCCCAGCTTCCCCTAATGGAGACACCTACACAACTGTAGGTCAGCATCACTGGCAATGTGAAATACTGTTGCCTAGATTACTCTGTTTTCAATAGTTTAGTTTGGATCTGGAATGTTCCCCCAGAGGATCCCGTGTTAAAGGTTTGGTCCTCTGGTTTGGCACTACTTGAAGATGGTGAAACTTTGAGAGGTGGGGCCCATAGGGAAGTTTTAGGTCATTGGGGTTGTGCCCTCAGGAGGGACTACGGGACCCTAGTTTCTTACTCTTCCTCCCTCTTGGACATGAGGTGAATAGCTCTGCTCTGCCACATCATCCCCACCACAATGTGCTGCCTCACCACAGGCTCAAAAGCAAAAGGAACATGTGACCATGAATTGAAACCTCCAACATTATAAGCCAAAATACAACTTTTCTGGGGCTAGGGTTATGGTTCAGTGGTAGAGCACTTGCCTAGCACATGTGAAGCACTGGTTTCGATCCTCAGTACCACATAAAAATAAATAAATAAAATAAAGTTATTGTGTCCATCTACAACTAAAAAGAATATTATAAAAATCTTTTCCTGGGATAGGGATATAGCTCAGTTGGTAGAGCGCTTGCCTTGCATGAACAAGGCCCTGGGTTCAATCCACAGTACCACAAAAACAACAACAACAACAACAAAAACACCTTTTTCTCTGTATTATTTTATTACTCAGATATTTTGTCACAGTAATGGAAAGCTGAGCAACACATATCCATTTCTATGCATAGTCTCTCTTTGGTTTTTAACTTGTTGCCTGCGTGACCCACACCTCTGTGTCCATCACCATCATCACAGTCCTGCATGTAGGAGGTCCATATCCGTAGCCCTCTGCTAAAGCTGGATACCTCTGCTCTGTTCTTCCTCCATCCTTCCCCACTCATATCTCTGTCTTCTTTCAGATCTCTCTTTGGAGAGAGATCTATATATTTCTCGATGCCCCCTGAATCCCTCCTTCACACCTGTACGGTATTAGGTTGAATTTGGAAGTCTTGAGGACCAATTCCCTCTCTACTAGCCTCTTTGGCCAGGGGCATCAGATGTGTGGCACTTCTCTTCACCTTTCTAAGCCCCACTGTGCCATCTGTGAAATGGACTTACAAGGATTCAAAGTGTGGGCATTATTGAAGGTATCTCTATGGGCATCTGGCTCTGATCTCCTTCTCCACCGTATGAGGACAGTCCCCTGGGGTCTATGGGCAGCTAGGAAGAAATAGGTGAATTTCTTGCTCTCACTCTCTCTACCCGCTAATTCYATGCTTCTTCTAACCAGCAGGCTGACTTGGCCTTTTTTCCCAGCTACATACCCCTGAGAATCAGTTCCTGGTACCTTAACCTCTTGCTCTCCCCTCCCCAGTACCCTGTGTCCCCTGGACAGATTCCACTGTTGTCATGGCAGCCACCTCTGCCACCCCAATGCTGCCTCATTGGTTTGAGATACACAACAGCATGAAAGGCAAAGGTGAGATCACTGGATGAACCACCAATTCTCCCAGTCCTTGGAACCTGGCTCCCTCATGGGTTTCGAGAGAGATGATGCCTATCCTTACCCAAGAGGCCACTGAAATGCAGAAACTCAGTATTATAAGCACAGACATGGAGAAAGAGAGAGCACATGTGACCCTCACTCAGTATGCATATGTCCCCCATCCCAGCTTACCCATATTTGCAGGAGGTATCAGCAATAGAGAAAGACCATATGGATGTCCAGATGTGGCAGAAGAAAAGGAAGGTGCAGTGGTATACTGCCAGTGAGCAGTCTAGTGGCCCGGGCCAATGAAATGGTGGCAAGAGTGCAGGGGCCTCGGGAGGCTCTTTGAAGGTATCTGTTGACTCTCCCACTCGCCTCAATGGCTATGTCTTGCCTAATAACCAATCAGCCCCAGTGTGCTAGCAGTTGCTACCACACCCAGCTCAGTGACTGACACACCAATTATGGACTGTGAGTGCCTGTTTACTCCCACTTGAAGCCTGACCCAGGAGGGAGGTAGAGGAGGGAAGCTCACCTCTGACCTATTCAGACATCCTACCCACCCCACTCTTAACCTCCTTTCCTCAGATTTCGAATTCCCACTTTCTAACCCTTACCCTTTCCTTGGATTCCAATATTTGCTAGGATGCCAACCTCGTATCTTCTAAACTCATCTGGGACCCTCAACCTCCCCGTTGCACCTTCAACTTCCTTCACTGTGGCCTACAACTTCCTTCAAACTCTGTTGCCTAATCTCTGAACTGCCTCCTCCGTGGACCCCTAATTCCCTCTGGCAGCATTGAGCAGTTCCTCCAACCCATGTGTGCAGTACTTTGCTATCTGGCTCTATGCATGGGTTAGTTGAGCACCACCACAGAACAGTAGCTCAAGCAGGTAAATCCCCTCATTCTTATCCCTTTCCAGATCCGCCTACTTCTGAATCCTAGTGTTATCCTCTGCAAAAATCTAATCTGTTCTCAATTGCTATAACTGAATTATTAAAGTTGGTTTTTAATTGGGTTTCTTAAAAGCAGAAGGAGGAAGAGAAGGTAAAAAATCATAGCTCTTAAGCCTCTGAAATATTTTAACATGAGGCACAATGAAACATATTTCAAAGAAAAAAGCAAATTACAAAACTGAAAATACAGTTCTTTTTTTAAAAAAGTAAAAATAAAACTCAAGATATAAATACAGTGAAAAGTCAGCTGACTTAAGTACCAATGATTGAACCTAGAGGCACTTAACCATTGAGTCACATCCCCAGCCCCTTTCTATTTTATTTATTTATTTTTTAGTTGTAGATGGACAAATACCTTTATTTTGTTTGTTTATTTTTATGTGGTGCTGAGGATCGAACCCAGGGCCCAGTACGTGCTAGGCAAGCACTCTATCGCTGAGAAACAACCTCAACTCCAGCCCTTTTCTATTTTGAGACAGAGTCTCACTAAGTTGCTGATGCTGGCTTTGGTCTTGCAATTCTCCTTCATCAGCCTCTGAACCACAGGGAATAGAGGTATGTCCCACTGTCCAGCTTGAAAGCTTTTTGAATTTGTTTGTCTTGCTATTGTTTTGTGAACTGAACCCAGGACCTCACACATGTTGGGCAAGTGCTAGCACTCCATGAGGTTCCCAGCTCCAGGAGTTTGTTGTTGTTTTTCACTCATGAGTTCTTTTTACTTGTTTCTTTGGGCTTTTATCTATTTCTCCAAATTTTACCAATGCACATTTATCAATAGGCAAATGTTTAATATACTAACACACAATGTGAAGTTTTAAACATTTGCCTGTTTCTCCTCTAACACAGTTTATCAATATTTTTGTAGCTTTTACCATGAAAATGTTTAAATAGCCCTGTGCCACAGTACCTAACCCATTATTAAATTTTGGACACAGTTTCTCTTCTGACTTATCGGAAGGTTTAAAATCAACAACAGCTTTAGCTCAGTTAGAACATTTATAGAAAATGGTGCTCTTCTTTTCAGTGCCACATATTAATAAATAAAATAAAGATCTATCAACAACTAAAAACATATTTAAAAAAGAAAGAAAGAAAGAAAGAAAGGGGCTGGGATTGTGGCTCAAGTGGTAGAGTGCATGCCTAGCACATGTGAGGCACTGGGTTTGATCCTCAGTACCACATAAAGATTAAAAAAAAAATAAAGATATTGTGTCCATCTACAACTAAAAAATGAATATTATAAGAAAAGAAAAGAAAATAGTGCCATTCTATGTTTCATGCAAAGGAGGAAAGATGAATTTCTGGACACATGAGTTTTATTTCACTTTTAAAGAATGAAGGYATTATAGAAAAAAGTTCACGCCTACAAAAAAGAAAGAAGGGACAGTGCCAATATTTACAGAAAAATATGTATAAAATGAGGAAAAGCTTGATACCACTATTTCTTTTGAGATGTGGTTGCCCAGGTAAACATCTCTATCATTCTCTAGCTGTGACTTTGTAGAAGTGGACCACTGTGAGGATCACCCAAGATAATGCACAAAAAAGCATTTACCCAGTCACTTGACATTTACCACATGCTCAATAAATATTTGCTGTTATTACTGATATAACTGTACTCTAATATGTGCTTGTGACTAGACCTTCAAGTTCCTTAAAGAAACACTGCCATTTAAGGCTTTCAAAGTAAATGTAAAGATAGATGGGATAAGGGACAAAAACAAAGACAAAATAGTTTCTCTAAGAAAATAGTTCACACAAACTATGAAGCATAGCCATRTGTGCAAACTGAGAATTAGGTATATAAATTGGGGGTGTTGGGCTGAGGCTATAGCTCAGTGGCAGAGCACTTGCCTAGCATGTGTGAGGCACTGGGTTTGATCCTCAGCACCATATGAAAATAAACAAATAAAACAAAGGCATCTGTTCATCTACAACTACAAAAAAATTTTAAAAATTAAAAAAAATTTGGGGTGGTAAGCTAGTGGTAGATGGAAAATAATTAAAGGAACTCTGAGGTTAACACTGGTGAATCTAAGCTCCTGTGCTTTGGAAAAAAAAAAAAAAAAAACAACATTTACCTGGCTCTCAATCATTTAGCTAATTTGTACTAAGCCAAATATTGTACTAAATGCTAAGATGCTGTAGCAAAAAACATTCTCTGAGAGCTTATACACAATCCATCTTCCAGGAAAACTCTACCCCACTAAGAACTATGGTGGGTTGTAATTATGATGTTCTATTTCAAGCACAATGGTTGATGCTTTAAACATTTGGTCAACCATCGTGAATAACTSGGTCTTGAATTTTTGTGTTATTGTTGGTACTGGGGATTGAACCCAGCTGTGCTGTACCACTGAGCTACATCCCCAGCCCTCTTTTTGTTAATTTTTTCAGACTGGGTTCCACTAATTTGCCTAGGCGGGTCTTGAATTTGTAGCCTCAGTCTCCCAAGTAGCTGAGATGATAGATGGGTGTCACCATACACACCTTTTTTATTCCTTAAGTTGTATTTAAAGTTCAAGGATAGCATGGGAAGCTTAGGGAAATCCTGTCTCAAAATGAAGTAGAAAAGGCTGGGGATGTAGCTCAGTGGTAAAGCATTTGCCCCTAGCATGCAGGAAGCCCTGCAGTTAAATCCCCAGTGCCACGAAAAACAAACAAAAAAGACAGAAATGGTAGGTTTTTATAAATCTAAAAGTTGTCTTTAAAAAGATAATAAAATAGCAAACCTTTAGTTACCAAGAAAAACACAATCCATACAATTAAAAATTGATGTACAGAAAAAATACTTCAAAGGGTTGTCAAGAGGGTCTGACAAGATCATAGACAGTACACATGACAAACCGGGAAAATGTTTACATTACACGACATAAGAAGAGCTCCTATAAATTAATAAAGAAAAGAATGAGCCCAGAATATCAAAAAAGCAAAGGACACAAACAAAATCAATCCCCAAACAAATAAAAATGTCCAGAAAACAATGTCCTCTGTCTCTGGGCTAGGCAGGGCAAGGCAATAGTGGGTAAAGTTACTCTCATTCAATGTTGATGAAAAGAAAATATATTTATAGCTTTCTTGGAGGGCAATTTGGAAATATGTATCAAAAGCCCTCAAATACAGTATCTTTTAATTAACATATAATCTCTTAGAAATTATTTAAGAAATTATACAAAATAGAAAAAAATTTAGTTTTAAGAATGCTTACATGATAAAAAAAAATTTGTAATAATATTAATATTTAGAGAAGAGATATTTCATAAATGTTACTATTCTTCCATTAAAAAGTTATATATTAATATTTATTGACATGGAAAACTACAAATTCCCATAGGTCATTTACAAAATGATAAAAATGGGCCACAGTCAACCAGTAATAACCTACAGCAGACTGCATAGACCATACTGATTATAGTGCAGTTAAAACATACCCTAAGTGACTCCTAGTTAAGAAGAAACTAAAACTTCAACTTAAGGCAAGTCCAGAAAATCATGAGAATAAGTGCATCACACACCAAAAACTATGGAATGGATGCAGATGTTCTAACCAGAAATAAATTTATGAGGTTAAAAACACTAAGCATATCAAATTCTATATCCTACAAATATAATCAATCACAAGCTCATGTCCATTACTAAAGCATTTAAAATAGTAAAACAGTGAAATCAAAATAATGTTTAAAAAAAGAGGTAAGTAGTTATATAACATCAGAATCTAGTCATATAAAGGAATTCAATGCATACATTTTTAAAATGACATTTTAGGACTTTCTTTAATGAAGAGAGGAAAATTTGCCAGACTGATTAAGTGAAAAAAAAAAAAATCAGGTTTTAAAATATGACKGTAAAGATGTTCAACAGAGTCCTATCTCTGGGCCTAAAACAGTACAAGATGTGGTCACATGTATTTTGGTGAGAGCTATTTTTTGTTAGATTCACAAAGATATCTGTGACCCTAAACAAGTTAAATGCCTAACAGACATCAAAAATGGTATCTCTGTGCTACCTCTCAGTGGTTAGATCATGGGGTATTTTAAAATTTTTCTCTATAAATTGCTATATTATATAATAAATATGCATAATTTTTATTAATAAAGAGGAAAATAGATCTCTTATTATTTTGCTTCCATTGTTTTTAAAAAATCTTATTAGAAAATTCCTCCTTCTCCCCCAAAGCACAAATATACAAAGCTTAGTAGAGTCTCAGGTTCAGACAGATCATCTAATTCTTAGATTCTTGAATTTACCCCAAAGAACCTAAGCAATGACAGGAGATTACCAGAGTGCTGCTCCTCAAATTTAGAAATATTGTTTAAGAAATGTCCTGAACTAGAGAGAGCAAATCTGGTAATATCACTGCCAGGTCATTGTACCACTTTAATTCAAAGTGATTCTAAATCTTTCTCTATCCCTTTTCARTTGGACCATTTTTGAATGAAGAAAAACATATGAGTTATTGCCAGGAGCTGGGGTTCAGGAGCATGTGATAGCTATCTGTGAAGAGAACAATGTCAAGGTGACAATAGTGAGCCTCTTGTCTCAGAYGAGTGCCACACTTACCAGTTCCAGCAGAGAATGAGGAAGCAGCAAAAGCATCACCTTGGGTTGACTGGAAACCTGGGATCAAACTCTCAGCTGAGCCGCCAAGCTTTTCAGGATGTTTGCCTGGAGATACAAAATACCATTAGGTTCATTCTAGCAGAATCCTGTGATGCATCTACAAATGGTGGAGGGGAAGGGCACCCTCTGACTGCCTTTCACACTCCTCTTACTGTATTACTGCAACATCTTGACTATTCACAGGTCCTGTCTAGTCATTCCAATAACAGAAAAGGAAGGAAACTATTAAGAATCAAAAGAGACAACACATGGGTTTTGAAAGATGAAAAGAATTCTGGAGACTGGTTGTGCAACAGTGTGAATGAACTTAAAATTACTGAACTATATATTTAAAATGGCTATGATGGTAAATATTATGTTTTGTGTATTTTACCACAATTAAATGTTTTTTATTTTTCGATTTAAAAAATTTTGCAATAGGGTTTCTTTAAGTTGTCTAGGCTGGTCTGGAATTTGTTATCCTCTTGACTCAGCCTCTTGAGTTGCTGGGATTACAGTGTGCACCACCATGCCTGGCCACAATTATGTTTTTTAAGTAAATGAGCAGGCACATGAGACAGAATGTGAGTGAACACAGAGCTCAAGCCTTAAAGCACAATCTCATTCCTCAAAGCAGAATACCTCCAGCCTTCACTGGGAATCTACTTAACAACTTGGTTTTAAGGATTTGTATTAAGGATCTGTTTTCTACGTTGGAAACATTTTAGAAGTGAGAAGTGGTAAAGATGGCAGTAGTATTATATGAACAGAAAGGAGACAGAAAAATCACTAAAAATAAGAGAATTTAAAAAAGAAAAAACTTGAGGTTGGTTATGCACAAAAACTACAGTTTCGACAGTCCATTAAGGTACTTRTGTTTGCAGTTCAGAACAATAATTGGCACAGATAACAGTGAAAGTGAGTTGCCCAAAAAAGTTAAACCTTATATCCTATATTCTGTTTAAAAACTCAGGAAAATAATATGAATAATAAAAAAGATAGCTACAAAATAATAGTTAAAGCTAAAATGTTTGGTCAACAGATTATTGCTACAAAATAATAGTTAAAGCTAAAATGTTTGGTCCTCTTGGTTCTGGTTATACCTTTACCTGTGCTCTTGTGTACACCGAGGGACCTCTTTTCCAACTGCATATTAGAAAACTTCCACAGATATACCTATTGTTCCAAAGTGTGTGCATGTGCCTCTGTGTGTGTGTGTGTGTGTGTGTGTGTGTGTGTGTGTGTGTGTGTCCATCCTGCCTTCCAAATTAGACTATGAGTTTTCTGGACAGAATTGTATCTTTTTAAAAAATAAAATCTCCTTTCGGTGGTCAGTCAACAATAATATAGAACACTGAAAACAGTGAGAGAATCAGTGTCCATGGGAAGGCATAGGTTCATGGACAAGCAGTCATTACTTTCTGGAACAATAAACCCACCTACAAGAAGGGCACCATCACAGTCCCCAAGGATGAGCCTGATTGACAGATTGATGCCACTGAATTGCTTTCAATTTTCTTCTTTAATGCTCACATTGTCCTTGCTGCTACCCACCACAGGTCAGGATTTCCTGAAAATACCTCAATGTTCTGGTAAAAATAAAAGTTGACTTATATGCATACCTGGAAATCAAGCCTTTGGGGACAGGCACAAGCCAACATTTTCACAAGCACATCCCTCTAGAGCTAACATTCCAACTCTTGCTTATTTCTCAGCATAGAGAATTTACAGGCAAGAATCACAAAAAAGGCATGGCTTCCTCACCTTCCCCCAGCTTGGCAAAGTCCTTGTTCAGCAGTTCCTCAGCTGTAAGTTTGGAGAAATTGTCATCATCAAAGGGATTCCAYGTAGAACCTTCTGAAGGATTATAGACATTTTGTTGGGAGGTGCGAGGAGATCCTGATGGAGTGGTGGTTGCAGACCTAGGTAGGTTCCCACCCCCACGAGACAAAAAGACATATAAAAGTTGAACCAAACAAAAAGAGTCAAACTACTTTTTCTTTGTTTTGGGATAAAATTCTTTTTAGAGGCAATTAATCATTTCCCAGTGTTTTTCTAAAGGGGCTTTCTACAAAGTTTCCATGGACACCCTTTCCACTCAATGACATGAAGGTATCCTCTCCTTCATCACTCTTTCTGTCCCACTATTTTTTTTTTTAATCTCTTGCTTGGTTTTTCAGTCTTGTCTGCAAGGCCTTTCAGTTCAGGATCCCAAAGGAACCTGTTGTTAGGCTTGTGCATCCTATGGAGATCAATATAAGAGCTCCCACAACCAAGTCTTGGAGCTCTGAGACTGAGGCCTTTGTAGGCTGCCTCCATCTTCCAGGATCTAGCAGCCATGGCATTAAGAGACACCATCACAATTAAAGATAAATGAAAATGGCTACTATCATTTTGTGTGTCTAGGTATCATTACCTGGTTTTCTTTTAAAGTCTGTCTGGAATTATTTTAAAGATTTTTAACTTCAGAGTTAACAGTTCCAAGAAAGATGAGTGTCTGAAACTACATTTACTCAACACTCATCAAAGTTTACTTTATGTCAGGCACAGAGCCAGTCACTAGTTTACAAAAACTGACTGAGGCATGATCCTCATCTTGGAGAACTGGCAGGCACATCAGCCAGACACATGAATAATTAATGATAAAACAATGTGATACATGCTCAATAAAGGCCCAGACGCAATGACATATCAGAGGAAAGGTCAAAGAAAAGGCAACCCCTGACATTGATCTTAATGAAAAAAGTGAGCATTTCCTAAGGGAGGAGAACAGCAGCAGTCCCAGGAGAGGGCTTGGGATGAGCCAAGAGCTCATGAAGGTAGATATTGGCAAGTCCACCCAGGCATTCCTGAGGTTACCAGTGAGTTCAGATAGCATCCCATGGACAATGAGGACCAATGAAATATTTTCAGCATGGAGACACTTGGTCAGATTGGGAGTTTAAATAACACACTGTATAGCATGCAACAAATAAGAGAATGGAAACAGTGGGCCATATAGAAATTTTTAAAAAAWTTTTTTAGTTGTAGATGGATACTATACCTTTATTTTATTTATTTTTATGTGGTGCTGAGGATTGAACCCAGTGCTTCCCACATGCTAGGCAAGTGCTCTACCACTAAGCCACAACCCCAGCCCCAGGAAATTGTTTCTTCTGAACAGAACAGTACATATACTACAAACAATTCCCTTTCTTACAAAGGAACACCTGTGCAGGGAGAATTGTGGAGGAGATGCACAAAGAACAGACAAACACACAAGGGGCAGATGCAAACAGAAAGAAGGATGGCAGACAAAAGGAATGCCTACCCCTTTCTGCCATCTTCTTTAATAACCCAAAAAGTTACATATTACCCACCTCCAGTGACTATACTTTGACCAGTATTCCTTTAACCCTGAGTGCTAGCTAACTGAGATAAGGTCCAGGTTAATGCAAACACAGAGCCTCTCTCCTTCAAAGTATGTCACTATGTAAACCAGGTAGTGCATCCACATAGTTATCTTAATAGCCTCAGCAGGGACTAGCTGGGCATTCCAATGAGGGTGCCAGTTCCCCCCAGGGAGTCTGCYCACCGGGGGAACATTTCTCTGTCTATTTCCATGGTCAGAATACCTATACTTTCTTCCTAAACACAGACACACACTACTATATATACATCTACACACACCCATATACTTATTGGGAAGCATTACACAAAACACCCATGATAGCCTTGCCCACAAAGTGAGAAGAACAAAGGGGAAGCACCACATACTTGGATTTATTGAGACTGGCCTCAGCTGCAGCTGCTTGGAGCAGCTGAGTGGATTTGCTGGCAGGGACCCCAAACACAGCACTGTGGGTGACGTCACTGAGAATCCGCCTGTGCCCAGCTCGTTGGGTTTTGGGGGATGATGGAGGAGTCAGAGATCCAAGTTTCTGTCCCTGGATGGTAGGAGGTGGGGTTGTTTGAACCTTTGGCTGTTGTCTTACTGGGGCTTGAAGCTGTTAGAGAGAGAGAGAGAAGTGTTTTATTATTTTTTTTTTTAAAGGAGGAGGAAAAGGAAAAACAAATAGATAAGCAAAACAACAACAAAATGCCACAAGTGAGCTAAGATAGGACTCAAATGGTTAAGTTTACCAGTAATACTCAGAAAGAAAAAGAAAAAGCTTCTACAATCTGGGCTGCAACTTTTAAGACAGATTCCAGTATAATATTTGATTGTTTTTTGTTTGTTTGTTTGTAGCTGGGGATCAAACCCAGGGCCTTGTGCATGCAAGGCAAGCACTCTACCAACTGAGCTATATCCCCAGCCCTGATAATATTTGAATTTATACATAAATCCAACCTATTACCCACCAATAATATACAAGGTAACCAAATGTAATTCTGCCCACAGAGGAAGATAACAGAAGTTATTTCTAGCTCTAAAGGTCTAGAATGTATCTTTAATGACCTCTTTCTGCTTTTGAGGTCACACAGCAGCTTGTCAGAATGCTTCCAAAGGGCAGGCAATAGATCCTACCTTCTACCACAGTTAGAAGTCAAAGAAGACACACCTCCAGCTAAAATACATTTATGCTAAATGATTTCTGCTAAGCGGTCCCTGAGACTCTGCCATAGCTGTGACAAGAGTGAGTCAGATGGAATTCTACTGTGACTGAAACTGGTAGTGCTTTTACTGTGCTGTTATTAAAGCTCTTCGTTTCATTGATGGGATGAGTCTACAAGATCCTGTTTCTGTGGTAACCTCKGAGAAAATGTACAGCATTGATTTAGTGGGAGTTACTTGCTCCAATCTTTAGTTTAGAAATGACATAGAAGAACCAGCAGAAAACATAATAAGAAACAAAAACACCTTTCTTAATGATGACTCAGCTGACAACATAAGGACTCTAGAGATGTGGACCATTTTTAGGAGGGCCAAACTGCTACTAAAGAACAATAAACAAGGAGAACATCCTAGTGGTCCTTCAGCATACATCATCTATATCTAGGAAAATGAACAAAACAATGTTAAGAAACTCACATAACCCATTTCCTTAATTCTGTCAATCTGAAGATAAATGACTTAGGATATTTAATGCCCYATGAATTTAAGTATCCCTTCCCTCAAGTCCCTCCTCTCATATTAAAGCTGCCTCTCCATGCTCCATGCTGCAGCCTGGATCCCATGTTCTGCCCCTCCAGAGGTAGACCTTGAAAGCTCAGGGAAACCAGRGTATTCAGCTATTTGGTTCAGAATACTTATAGCATGGGATACTGACTGTCCTTATGTCATCCTTAGGACATGGAACATTTAGTGAGGCAGACTATGTACAAGTGCCAGTGTACCAACTACCTCACCAATGGGCAGAATGATACAATCATAATGTTCCAGTATCAACTGAACTGAGACAAGAGTAGCACAGTTTCTGCTGAGGGAAAGCAGAGTGGTATTGAAGACCAGAGCTCCAGCCCCACCACTTCCTCTGGGGGTCCAGAGTTGCTCCTATACCAGCCAGTTGAATGCCAGCACTGATGGAGGCTAGAAGGTTTTGAGGACAGACCTGACTGGCCTATTTTATAAGACAATCATTACTCTGAAAAGGGTACTTGTCTGTTCAGTCCCTTTTTTGATGAAGACTCCACACTACTTGGAGAACATCTTCTACTCCTCTTTCCTGTTCTCCATGTGCAGTACACTTTAGAATGGATGCCCCTATTGGGGTAAAACATCTCTAATCTGAAGATCTAAAGCCCCAAATGCTCTAAAATCTGAAACTTTTCATACACGACATGATGCCACACACGAAAAATTCCACACCCGACTTCATGTCTCAGTCAAAACACAGGGGTACTAAAAATATGATACCTCAGGCTATATTTATGAGTGCATAGGAAACATAAATGAAATTCATGTTCAGTCTTGGGACCCATCCCCAAGATATCTCATTATATATGCAAATATTCCAAAATCTGAAGCACTTTTGTCCCGAAAATTTCAGATAATGGATACTCAGCCTAACCTATTTAGGGGTTCTTCACAACAATCCTGTCAGCCAGGCAGTTATATGTCCACTTTGAACCAACAAAAGTGAGTTGAAAAGAGTCTTAGAAAACAGATTCCGACACTTTCACTTCAGAGGAGAAGAGACCATGGCCCACTGAGGCTAAGTTCTCACTCAAGGGCACAAGGTGGACTGGAAGAAGAATCCCTAACTCCCGACCACCACTCAGGACTCTTTTCTGCACCACAATGCCTCTCATCCAAAGACAAAACTAGAGAGGGTGAAGGAGAAACAGACTGCAAAAGAAGGACAAGGCAGACTCTGAAATCTAACTTGTTGAAGACTTTTTAAAAACAAAATATGTAATTATAGAAGTGTAAGCATGCCAAGAAATGTAAGAATATAGAGAAGAGTGTCTATTCCCACACTCCAATACAATCCTTATCTTTGTTGTGCCTTAAATGTAAGTCAGTTTGTCTCCTCTCCTTTCCCCTTTCCCTGTCCCTGTCCCTTCCCCCCCCCCTTTCTTTCCCCAGTACTGGGGATTGAATCCAGGGGTGCTGTACCACTGACCTACATCGGGAGCACTTTTTATTTTAAGACAGGGTCTCACTAAGCTGCAGAGGCTGGTTTCCAACTGTGCTCATCCTGCTTCAGCCTCCCAAGTAGATGTTATTTAAAGGCATGTACCAGGGTGTATGGCCTAAGTCTTTTTTTCAAGTATACACTTTTTCCAATTTTACAACTCTTTCAACATTACCTCATGAGCATTGTTCTCACATTGCTGTACAGACTCTCATACTGCTTTATGATTTTTAATGGCTGCATGGTCGGGTTCCTGAATGGTTTAGGTTGCTTCCATTCTTTGGGCTACTATTAATAAGACTGCAATGAACCTTTAGAGCATATGGTCATTTTCCCTTTGCTGATTACTGCTTTCAGATGGCTGCAGGGTGTTCTTATATTCACTCACATGCTTCTCCAAATAAGCCTTGCCATGAGTCAGAGACGCAGGGATGGGTCAAACCTGGGCAGCTCTATGGTTCCTGGTTAAGTACAGTCAACCCAGTACTCCCTAAACAACTATTTCTGAGCACAATGCTCCAGTGTTTTTCCATGTGGGGAGCATGGAGAAGGTTTATAATTAATTATAATTAATTCCCAGCTGTCCAGGCAAAGCTGAAGGGAACCTCATGAAAAGTGATGCTAGTAGTAGTTGAGTATTCATTATCTTGAATGAGCATTTGTTGCTATTATCCTAAAACACAGATCATGATTCTTTGATTATTGCCCCGGGTCTGTTATTGTAATTTTTCATGTCTCTAGGGCAGTTGCTTTCTAGTCTAGGCCTCAGATTTCAATTCCATAAAATCAGGGGACTAAGATGGATAATTAAGATCCCTTTTTATTAAGTCATGTAATAATTTTTTTCAAAACTGTTTCCATTAACAAGAAGAACTTTATCTTTTGTTAAAAATACAGAGGATAGCCATCTACCACATATTGCAGGAAGAAAGTTGTTTCATTTCAGAAACAAAGGTGTAAGCACTGAATAGACACTTGGCTGAGACTTAGAGAAGACAATCCATTTTTGGCACTGCTTTTTGAAGGGATAGAAGTTTTCTTGTTTAAGATAGTGACAAAACTATATTAGAAATCAATTCTCAGAAAAATGGATCCTTATCATCTAGTAGTTGAACTTCCTTGGGAATAAGAGAGTAGCTGTAATATTCTATCAACTAGGTATCAAAAAATACCTTTTTCTATCACTATAATCTTTTCTATTGCTATCACTAAGGAAACTCTGAGTATAGAATAAAGGTTCCTTACTAAAGGACAAAGCAAGAATGCTCGAATGTGCTGAAACTGTAGATGTCAATCAGGAGAGGGTTCTGATGCTATATTCACTCAAATTCTAAATTTACAGGATGGTTCTAATAAGTAGATACTCAGATGCTCTGGTATCCAGGATATTGTGCCATAGTACATGGTCACAGGCAAGTTGGGCCTTCAAAGGTGATACTTGGTAAACTCAAACGCTRTGGCTAGTTGTGTCATTCATAAACTCAACACTGTCAAGACTCAGGGTACAGGTGGAAGCCCACATCAACCCCCAGAGACCGGGAAGGGCACAATGGATCAATCTGCCTCTTGAAGAAGGGAAAAGGATTAGCTCAAATCCTGAGTCCTTGACTCATAGCACTAACAGAGACAATGAACAGCCTAATGCCAGGATGATAAATTAAAATGTGTGCCTTCATCAGTAACCTTGAATAATTTTTTTAGAACTCTGTCTTCTACAAAATACTTTATGCTGTCCTTGGATGTATCAAGCAAAGATGAAATATTTTAACTGCAGGGATGAGAAAGCAACCTGGTCCCCMTCACAACTGCTGCCATCTCTTACTGCCCTCTCTCTGGCCCTCAATGCTCACTCCTCTTCTGCCTTTCACCCTGAGCCCTGGTTCTTACTGCGGGCTCCTGAGCAGTTGTTGGCTGGGGGACAGAGGCAGGTTGGGCCTGGGGCTGTGGTCCTGCTGCTGCCAGGCTCTTTTGCTGCAGAGCTGCCTGCTGAGTCATCAGCTGTTGCTGATGTAAAGCTGTGGCCAACTGTTGTTGCTGTTGTTGTTGTTGCTGCTGCTGCTGCTGCTGCTGCTGCTGCTGCTGGTAGAAGTTCTGCATCAGCTGCTGTTGAGTGCCTCCCTGGGACACCACAGGGAACTGGGCAATGGCTGGTTGCTGGGTTCCTGAATGTACTGCCTGAAACTGAGAGGAGAGAATGGCAAGAAACGAGGAGGTGAAAAAGATCCTGTGGCAGAAACACATTCACAAAGATCAGTGGTGAAGCCAAAGGCAAGAGCAGGTAGAAGTCTTATTACCTGGTTCACAGAAATCTCAGGTCATTGAAACAAACACAGCAGTACCTTACATTGCTGAACCATACCTACTGCTTTAGACTGGTTTCCAAGTGGGTTTCTATGCCTAGGCTGAAGGAAGCTACCTGACTTAATAAACATCAGGTGGCTCCACAAGCTGATATGTAACATAAAAAAATAAATGCTCTCCCGATGATAGAAGTAATCCTTCTTATAAGGGATTTTGAAGTAGTCAAGATTAAAATGCTTCCTTGCATGCATAGGATAATACAATGTTGACACTGAAAAGAATAACATAAATGTTAACCCAGCTACTGAAACTCATATCAAGGCTTTCTGAAAATTATTTCCCAATTGCTCTACTTTATGAAAACTCTACCATCTTTATTCAAAATATTCTGATATTTCGTTATAATTTTTTTTTAATTTTTTTTAGTTATAGGTGGACATGATACCTTTATTTATTTATTTTTATGTGGTGCTGAGGATTGGACCCCGTGCCTCATGCATGCTAGGCAAGCGCTCTATTACTGGGCCACAACCTCAGCCCTCGTTATAATTTTATAGTGGGGTCATCCTACCTTGCCCAGGCTGGTCTCAAACACCTGGGCTCAAGTGATCCTGCTGCCTCAGCCTCCCAGGTAGCTGGGACTATAGACTTGCCAGCATGCCCAGCTTTTATGACATTTCTTACATGTCTCTCCAATCTCCACTGCTAGGAACTATGTCCTAGGCACATAAACAGAGCTCAAAATAGGGCCCTACTGATGAACAAGATCTTCTTTGGGACACCCTAAATACAGTTACCTAGCTACAGAGTTAATTTGGAGGATACCATTTGTCTATTGGGGACAAAGTTAAAGGGTTAGCAACAAAGCAGATGTCAAAATATAGCTGCCTATTTAAAACAGAAAAATGATGGAAATAACCCAAATGTCTATCAACAGTAAACTGAATAAACTATGACATATCCTGAAGAATACCAAATGGATACTCTCAAGTTGTATAGAGGAATGAAAGATACCTCTACAGATGGGTTAGAGGCGATAGAATTTTGTAGATTTAACTCTGAAACAATGTAAATGGTTATAATTCATCAGAATTAAACCAAAATTGAAAAACAATAATGAGCCAGGCACAGTGGTACATTCCTGTAAGCTCAGAAACTCAGGAGGCTGAGGCAGGTGGATTCCAAACTCAAGGTCATCCTTGGCAATTTAGCAAGATCTTGTCTCAAAATAAAACATAAAGGCTTGGGTGTCTTAGTGGAACAGTGCCCCTGGGTTCAATCTCTAGTACTAAAGGAAAAAGAAAAAAAAAAGCAATAACTAAAAATGAAAAGCAAAATGATACAAAGAAACCAGTATACAGAGGTAACTAACTATAGCCAGGAATTTGTGTAGGGTGTGGCTGGAAAAGTAGGTCACTGGAGTGTGTCTTTGGGGTTTATATTTTATCCCTGGTAAGCAGAACTCTCTGCTTCCTAGTGGCCATGTTCTAAGCTACTTTCCTTCTCCACACCCTTCTACTGTGGTGTTCTGCCTCACCTTGGGCCCAGAGCCATGGAGTTAGCCATCTAATGGATTGAGACCAATAGAAACTGTAAGCTCCAAATAACTTTTCCTCCTCTATGTTGTTCTTGTCAGGTCTTTTGTTCACATGATGATAAAGCTGAATAAAACCATTCCCTAGGTAATAATGTGTGAAACATTTTGAGAATAAATTGGGCAAAGAAATCTTATACTGATTTTTAGTAATCATATTGGTATTATTATCCTGAAACTATAAACCAATTAATTAACTATGTTAATGCTGTTAGGAATCAAGATTTCCAGATAAGTAAAACACAACAGAATCCAAAAAGTTAAACAAAAATCCTATAACTACAAATTTGAATTAGTAATATAAATCTGAATTCATAATGTATATTTTTTTCATTGTTGATGGACCTTTATTTTATTTATTTATATGTGGTGCTGAGAATTGAACCCAATGCCTCACACACTCTTCCACTGAGCTACAATCTCAGCTCTCATAATGTATATTTTCTAATAAAACACATTTTCTAACTGTACACTTAAAAAGCCAAGAAATAACCACAAATCCATTAGTAAGTGAATATCTCTAGCACCAAATGGTAGGTTCTAAATATCATTTCCATTAAAAAAATAAACAGCTCCTTAAAAAAAACAGATAATTCCGGGTCAAGGACAGAATGATCCTGGAACAGTGTGTTATCCTCAATGGCAAGGCAATCATTAAAGACTACCAGAGTCACTCACATCAAAAGAACCCAGAAACCAATTTGAAAGTACTTCCACTGGCCAAAATAACTAACAGACAATTTGAGCATCAAAATAATTTTTTTTTAAATGCAATGTATTGAAAGATATCAAACATGTTAAAATTCACAAATTCATAATGATATGAAACAAAAACTTCAAAGTCACTTTTGGATGATGGAGTGAACAAATTCATTATTCCAAAAACTGGCAAGCAAAGAGAAAGAATCAAGTATTTCTCTTGCCTTTCTGAATAAACAGTGCCTCAGGGTAACTAAATAGTTGATGAAAAAAAGTTCTTCATAGAAAAATTCCAGGCCCGAAGTGAAGTGGGAATGCTAGTATATCATTTTGCTATTGCTAGTRAATTAATGGACTTAGGAAATAATCAGCAATGGCTGGTAAGCTAATGAGAAACATTAATAAAATGGATGAGACAGACAACACCTTAACACACTGAACAGTCTCAACATCATTAAAGGAGAAGATAACCAGATATTAGAGGCATCCTGATGTGACRGAATAGGAAGAAGCAAGAATTGCCAGACCAAATGGAATATTGAGCAGGCCTTGAGAAACTACCAGTTTTCAAGAGACAGAGGAACATACCAAATGACACCATGGGGCAATCAAAGCCAAATCCAGAATGTAGAACATTCCACAGAGCAACTAACCAAGTTTCTTAAAAAAATGGAAAAGGGGAGAAGGAACATTTAGGAAAGGGAAAAGGGAACTTAAGAGATATATCAATTACTATAAAATATGTTTATAGTATAAAATGTGAAAAATTATAGGTAAAGATAATGGAAAACATATACCAAGTAAACAAAATATGTGGACCTTGCTTGGATGCTGATTTTAAAAAGCCAACTTAAATTATGAGACATCTGAAACAGTTGAACATGACTGGGCTTTTTTTTTTTTTTTTTTTTGTCAGTACTGGGGATTGAACTGCTCGGCCTCATGCATGCTAGCTGAGACTGGCCTCAAATTTGTGATCCTCCTGTCTCAGCCTCCTGAGTTGCTAGGATTACAGGTATGCATGACCACATTCAGTACTACTGGAATATTTGATGATAAGAAAAAAATCAGAGTTTTTTTCCCTTCAGTATGTCCTTAAAACCCTGAAAAACAGCACCTTCATTGAGTTCCTCAAGCATGTGATAAATTCTCCATGGCCTGAAGAGAACAGTGAATGGGCTGTGAATTATCAATCTACTTCTAAATGCCTTAGTTATCTATGAGAAACAATGATGTAATAAAGGAATGGCTCTCCGTAGTCCTAGCACTTCTAAGGAATATATCTGTACCTACTGGGCCTTTTCACAATCACGATTCAGCCTGGATCACCTTACCTGCTGAGCCTGGGCCTGCTGCTGCTGGTAAAATGTGCCTGATGGCTGCTGTGGCTGCTGCTGTGGCTGCTGTGGCTGTGGCTGTGGCTGCTGCTGTGGCTGCTGCTTGAGGAAGAGCTGCTGTTGGTGCTGGGGTGTGGCCTGGGCCTGAGATGTTGTCAGACCCTGGGCTGGGGTGGAAGGCGGCTGCTGTGGGGTGGATGGAGCCTGTGGCTGCTTGGGCTGAGACTGAGGCAGAGGCTGGCTGGGTGGGGCTTGGGCTTTTGGTTGAGGAACACTGGTCAAAAGCCCAGTTTGATTGCTGGGTCCTACAATAAGAATAAACTCCATATTAGACCTCAAAACTCTTCTAGATGAAAAACAGCTTTCTGACTTGTCAAAGCAGTAGAAAGGGGGTGATAATTAGGCAGATTATTCGAAGATCCATGTGCTCCACACTGTCTGTCCACATGCTCTGTTTTCCTCAGAATGCCTTTCCATCTTTTTGCCAAACTGTGCTTTAAAGTTTTCAAAACAGGGCTCAACAACAAGATGCAATATTTGATTCCTTTAGAAAGCACTCCTTTATCCATCATCCCAATTAGCCAATTCTCCTTTAGTTAGCAGCCTGAGTATCTACAGCCAACTGGCCTTTGCTGCTACTGTAGGTAAACACAATCTTTGTATCAGTTGGCTTGCTGCATGACAAAAGAATTCTTCAAATGTTTTACCTATAGTTTACATGACCCCCACCAGGATGCCTAAATGTCTGGCAGAATTTACCAAAAGCAGCTTTCTCCTAGGGGAAAGCAATATAGTTGTATTCCATTACTTGATATTTTGAATCAGTTGGGGATTTTTGGTACTGGGGATTGAACCCAGGGGTGCTTAACCACTGGGCCACATCCCAACCCTTTTTATTTTTTGAGACAGGGTCTCACTAAGTTGCGAGACTGGCTTTGAACTTAGATCCTCCTGCCTCAGCCTTCCAAGTTGCTGGGATTACAGGCATGTACAACTGGGCCTGGTAGATCAATTGTCTTTATAAAACAAAGTTTACTCATCTCATTAGAAACAGAATACCAAAATACAAAAGGGTGATAGATATTTCAAGAAACAAAACATTAAGGAAACAATATTTCCTGTGAGGTTCAAAAGGAAGTAAGTCTTGTTTTTTTTAAAGGCAAGGCAAAGTGTATGGAATAAAGAGGTAGGTATGGGAAGAACAGATCAAACCACAAAGTCAGGGCCAAGATGAGAAAATATAGAGATGATAGCCTTCAGTAGTCTTAATGATCCATCTTAGAATACAATAAGAGGTCTCCACTTTTGCAGCCATTGGCCATACAATTTCAAAGGCAATTCACTTCATTATTCTTTATGTGCCTCTGGATTCCATTCCTAACATGAAACTAGGCTCTCCAACACTTCTGTAATAAAGAGGTACACTCACTTTCAACCCAGTCTAGTAACTGACCTGCAGCCTGAGGTGGGGGCTGAACTGTGGCCCTCTTCCGAGGTGTCAGAGCTGGCTGGATGGGAAGGATTCCTGGATTTGGCTGAGTCTGCCCAGCTTTAGGCCTCTGGCGGGGCGCAATTGAAGTTTCTGTGGTAGGAATGGGATCTGTCAGTCTAGAAAAGGAAAAGTGGGGGGAAAAAGATTCATGTCAAGAATGGGAAAATGGGAGATGAGTGGGCAGAGTACATAACCCTTTCCCCTCAACCCTTACCCAAACCTTCCAGATCTGCTTAGTCAATAATTCTCAAAGGGTGGCCCATAGGATGTTATTAATGTCTTGAAAAAGTGCTTACTGGGCAAAAATGATTTTAACACAAAGATGGAATTATATTGAGCAGATTTCTTTCCAGCAGATCTTTTCATGTGTGAATCATGCATGGTGAATCTATATGGAATGCAATGTTTCTCAAGCTTATACACTTTTTTTTAACATTTATTTTTTAGAAGTAGTTGGACACAATACCTTCATTCTATCTATTTATTTTTATGTGGTGCTGAGGATTGAATCCTGGGCCTCGCATGTGCTAGATGACCACTCTACCGCTGGCTGAGTCACAATCCCAGCCCAAGCTTATACACTCTTTTTTTTTTTTTTATTGTTGGTCGTTCAAAACATTACATAGTTCTTAATACATCATATTTCACAGTTTGATTCAAGTGGGTTATGAACTCCCAATTTTACCCCGTATACAGATTGCTGTATCACATCAGTTACCCTTCCATTGATTGACATATTGACTTTCTAGTGTCTGATGTATTCTGCTGTCTGTCTTATTCTCTACTATCCCCCCTCCCCTCCCCTCCCCTCCCCTTTTCTCTCTCTACCCCTTCTACTGTAAATCATTTCTTCCATTTGTATTATCTTGTCTTACCCCTCCTTTCCTCTTATATGTCATTTTGGCTTATACACTCTTGAAACCTTTTTCTCTAATACCTCATAGGATTTCCCAGGATACACTATGGGTAATGATGCTAAAAGAGGTTTGAGGAGGGTGTTCTTTCAGAGATACAGGGAACTCAAACKTGGTTGAAGAAAGCTGTCAAAATGGTCTCTCTAGCTGGGTATGGTGATGTACACCTATAATCCCAAAACTCGGGAGATTGAGGCAGAAAAATCTTGAGTTCATAGCCAGCCTGGGCAATTCATTAAGATCCTGGCTCAAAATAAAAGGGCTGGGGGCTCTGGAGATGTAGTTCAGTGGTATAGCACTTGCCTAGCATGCGTGAGGCCCTAGGTTTGATCCCCAGCACTGAAAGAAAAGGAAAAAAAAAAAAAAAAAAAAGGTCTCTACAGTGAAAAGCAAATGAGTGGATCCAACAAGAAGGAATAAGTAAATAATCTGTGGTAAAAAAATTTAAAATTCAGGAGTATAACAGAAACACCGCCACCACCCCCGCACTCCCCCCTTTTTCAGTACTAGGAATTGAATCCAGAGTTGCTCTACCACTGAGCTCCATCTGTAGCCCTTTATATATTTTTTTAATTTTGAGATAGGATCTCCCTAAATTGCCCAGGCTAGCCTTGAACTTGGGTTTCTCCTGCTTTAGCCTCCCAAATTTCTGGGACTATAGGCATGTGCAACCTTGCCCAGCATGTACTCCTTTACCAGAGAAATAAAAATTTTAGCTTACCACAGTGTTATCCAGAGTAAAAGAATCACCTATTCTAGCCACTTTTGCGACCAAGTGTGGCCATTTGTCTAAGCTCTAGCCTTACATGGCAGTTTCTAAAAACCTTAAGAAATAACTGATGTATTCCCTTTTCCTATCTTCTTTGGCCATTCCTTGATCCTGCTGCTTTGGATGGGAAGAGGCTGCTACACTGATCTATGAGGTCACTGGCCACACCTGTAGGGATGGTAGAGTGATGAGCATGAAGAAATCTGGGTTCACGAAACAGAACTGCCATATAAACCTGGCCTACTCACCTCCAAACTTTGTTTACTTGTGAGAAAAAAATTAACACCTATCTCCAATAAGACACCATTATTTCAGACTTTTTGTAACCATCAGATCCAATCCAAACTAACAGAGGGATGTGCCATGTGGCCCACTTAATTCCTTGTGATGGTGTTGAAGTCCATCATTCATTTACATTAGTTTGGGCAGCTAACTACGACCTAACTCAGATCAGAGTCCACTGCCCTTTGAAAATTGCACTTAAGGAGTATAAATGAGGCTAAGGCCAAAATAAACAAGCTTCATGAGTATTTCCAAAACATGTCTGGCACAGCCTCCATGAATGCAAAACAGGAAGCAAAAGAACTGGCCCTATGTCCTTCCCATGATGTACCTCTAAAGTATGGCTCTCCTTGGCCCAGAAACCTCTCATTGACATCCTGTTAGATGCTCTTATGCTGGGCAGAGAATTGATAATATGTAAGTTATCTCATCTGGAGTGGCTGTAACCTGGATAAAGGAAGTGGGAGGGAAAAGTGTGACAGATTTTGGAGGACAGGACAAGTGTAAGAGAAAAAGCCCAGGGTCAGGGAGGTAACCAGACTTCAGTGGAAATCCAAACTCAAAACTATTCATATTGGTTTCCTGAGGRGAACATCTTAGAAACACATGGGATTTAGAGTCAACAAAAAAACATTTGAGCTCTAGCTCCCTACTAACTTGTGTGATGATGGACATGTCATTTTAGCTCTTTCAGTCTTAGGTCATTTATGTGTAAAACAAGGAAACATGCGTATGTATCAATAAATATGAAATTGCTTTGTAAACTGTAGAGTGCCCAAAATGTCAGCTACAGGGCCATCACTTGTGTGCTTTGAAGGGATATAGAAAGRATCCTCATTCAGCCTTTGTACATACCACGTTTGGGTTTTGTACATGATTAGTATAAACCAAAAAGATTGAGATAATTAAATCAGCCCCCAAAACAATCCCCAAAGAGGTGAGCAGGGCAATAATTAATGTCAGAAATTTACAAATAAAAGTAACAAGGTTTGCTTGTTTGTTAAGCAAGTCTGCTAACTTTATTAAAAAACAAAGTCATTACTTTAGAGCCACACCTGGAATAATTCTACCCACACAGTAGGCATTCTATAAATATTCAAGACATTTTAAAAACACAGTTTACTTTAAAGTAAATTACTTTCCTGTTCTATTAAAATCCACATATTACCATTTCAGGTCCTTTATTGACACTGTTTGCTGCTAAATATTTCCTTACCCCAGGAGGAGGGGCAGAAAAAGGAGGAGCATAAACATGTTCCTGGCCACCCCCAGAATTTGTCATTTGGAAAGTATGACAGCCACAGGGCAGTGCCTGGCAGATTTTTGGCTATAGGGATGTGAAAGACCAATGCCCAGCTGCTGTGCTCTGGGTTTACCCTGAGACCACGCTTCCCATAGATTGAGTTCAGTCCTAACATTCCATCCATTGATTCCTATTAGGGGACCTTTCTGATAGCTGATTCTGGTATAAGGGATCCCCAATATCTTTGGTAAGCTTTCCTTAAATTGTGTGGCAATCGGAGACACTTTCTCCAGGTCGGACTTGCAATTTCTGACCTTCTCCCAGCCTTTTCCTGGCTCCTTCCCTGTTTCTCCCTGGGGTTTTTCCCTAACCATGTCTCAGCATCTTTGGCATTTGCTTCCCAGAAGACTRAAGGTGGCATAGAATGTGATTAGCTTGTACTAATGTTGCTGGAGCCACAGTAGTAAAAAGAAAAGGAAGGCAGATGATTAGGGTGGTGAACATGTCTAACCACATACCAGGATGCATGTTAGGACACTCCTGTGCCAGCAACATATAAAGTCTGCCCTTGCCTCATCACTGAATACCCCTGCTACTGTTCCCATGCAAAAGAAACAGCTGTAGTGTCTTTGATTCTCTTTCAAACGTAGATCACACTATTTTATTATATTCCTCCTSGCACTCCTGAAGAATAGTTTCTGCCTAGGGGAGACAGGGCTTGGTTTCCTGATCTGTGCAGTCGCTGGTTGGTTATGGCAAAATGAGAATTAAGAAACACAGGCATTCTCCACTGCGGTGCCCCAGCAGGATGCTCACCAAGGCACTTCTTACCTGGCTTTTGGCTGGGTCTTTTTTGCAGCTGCCTCACTGGCTTTCACTGGTTCGGGAAGTTTTGCAGGAATAGGAGAATTCTAAGGAATTGAAAAGAGAAAAATAAAAAAATATATATATATATATATAAAAAGGACATCACAAATTTCTCTGTAAAAGAATAACCAACCTGATGGAAAAGAAATTACATTTGAAGGTCTTTGGGTGTGACTTTCAGGCACTTTTCTCCCTGTTAGAAGGAAGTTAACCAAATACCTACCAGACCCAGACACCAGTGGGAAGCAGATGGCTGTGAAGAGGTGAGCATAAGCACACACTTTCCCCTTCTGCACCAGACAAAGCTCACTGGGGCTTAATCTTGGTTCCCTTCTCCTTGGTGTAGTTCAGACGTGATGATATAAAAGGAATGGGAAAGAAGTTGTATTGTTCAAGCTCTAGCTATATCTGAGAGACATCAGAGCTGACTCAGGTGCCAAGCAGAGTGCATTCCATCTTCCAGTCAGAATGCTGGGAGAAAACCATAGCCACCCTGTATGTTTGGTGGCTAAGCGAGTGCCCCTTCCCAACATGGGAAGCACTACTCACTCCACAAGCCAAACACTGTTCTTCTAGCTTGACTTCTGCACCATTCAACACTGCATCTTGAGGGAGCACCAGCTAGCTGTACTGAACCACAAAGCAAGTGCTTGCTACTCCTGAGAAAGTGCCAAAAGAAATGAGATTGATGAAGTTTACTTTTTATAAACTAGATACCAATCTTAATGTTTTCAATTATATTTCACATTATTTATTTGATAAATGGGAAAGTGCAACTGTAAAGGAAAACATGGTCATGTAAAGTTACTGTACCATATCCCTTGTTTCCATCTTGGAAAACTGACAAACAGAACATGAGCTCTAACACTAGCTTTTTAGGGTTAAGCATCCCCGGCACCAGTAAAATAAATAAATAAATAAAAATTTTACTGCAGCATCCATTAGTAAAATATTCAAGAGATTGGGTTATGTCCTAAAAAATATGCCAAAATTGGGGCTGGGGATGTAGCTCAGTGGGAAGTCACTTGCCTAGTGATATGTGAGGCTCTGGATTCCACCCCCATCACAGTAAAAGCAAACAATAACAACAMCACCACCACCAAAGCCAAAATTGTAAAAAGGTGTTTGCAAAGCATTTTATTCTGAAAACTATGAGTAAAGAGTTTAGGAATACTTGGTGTAGACAAAATTCACATGGTCTGATATGTGTGACACAAGTGTGAATTATAGATGGCCAATGGCGGAAGCAAATCAAGACAGCGTTGCTGTAAGGAGGGAGAGCAGTGGAAATGGGCTGGTGGGACGAGTCCAGGGCCTCCCTCAGGAAGGCAGCTGTACACATTCACAAGACAGCAAGCTGGCCACTCTTCACCCAAGCATTCAATTTAATTTCTAGGGTATTTTTTGTTGCTTTTGTTGTTGAGTGAACTGCCTCAGTTTTATAATTAAATTCAATGGGAAACTGGATTCCTTTTATTTTGGATTCCCTTTATTCTACTTCATGGTTAGCTTTGCTTGAATGCCCCCTAGTAGATAAATCAAGGGACATCTACATCACTTAAGAGACTGATTAACAGCTCAGAACTCAAATGACAATGTGATAAGGTTTACTTTGGTTAACAAGCACCTTCACATACCTGTACATTTGGAACTGGGCATTCTTTCTTGAGAAGTTTGAATGAGAAGTAGGAAACTTGGTAAATATCCGGCCTTTTGTCAGGGTCTGGTTCCAACATATACCCTATGACAAACATATGTGAACTTATTTAATACCCTAATAGTTGTTACATTAGCTAGAGAACATAACTTTTCTACTACCAAAATTTTGATATTTTTAATTTTTATGTCTCATAAAAGTCAAACAGTACAACTAGCCCTTTTCCTAGAAAGGGAAACTAATTTTCCTAAAATATTTAATATCCACAAGAAAATAAACTCTYGGAATTTTAACAAGCTACCTGAAGTTCACATTCTATGCCATGCATAAGAGGGGTGCCAGCTCTGAATCTGAAAGTTACCACCTTCATGTTCTGATATCTAGGTAGTTATATGGTCTAGTAGCTGGCTTGCTTAGTWCACAGTTTCTTGTTAAGCAAATGATTATTCATAATTATAATTATAACCAAAACCCAAAGATCAAGAATTCACTACCTATTCTTTTGTTGGTGATATTAAGTACTTTCCAATTTAAGAGAAATTACAAAGTAACATATACATACATACATACATAGATCGATCGATCTACTTTAATTGTGATCCATAGATCACTTTTCTATTTCCAGGTCCTTTAAGCTTCTGCCTTCTTGGAAGCTGGAAAAGCCCTCAGGAAAGTCTTTGAGAAGACACAGACACACGAGTATATATCCCAACACTAGTGCAGGGCACTTCCTGCCTAAGTAAATAATGAATGGTTTGAACACGAAGTTCAGAAAAAAAATCAGTGAGGTTACAGCTCTGGAACGCAGAAGAAGCAGAACAGAACACAGTCAGGGAGAAAGCAAAAGACAGTCCAGAAGAGAGAACAGTGTGAACAAAGGCAAAATTGGAGAAAGGCAAGAGAAAGATTCTCCTGCTGCATGGAAATAGGAGCCAAAAGGATAGGGTAGAGAGATGGCTTGGAGGGTGGGACAGAACCAGAACATGAAAATCTTAAATGTCATGCTAAGAACGTGGGCTCCACTATGGGACCACTGGCAAGCAAGTCAAACTTACTGAAAAAGGCATGATAGGGTGACATTTTATAATAATCTTGTGACAAGGGTGTACTGGATAGCATAGAGAGGAGAGAAGCTGGTGGCCATTCTGCTAGAACAGGAGCTGACAGGTCTGTATACACACCGTGGTGACATGGATGAAAAGAAGAGAATCATTGAAAAGAATCGCAACTCCAAATAGATAGATAGATAGATAGATAGATAGATAATGAGGAGAAGAAGAATTAATACAACATAGAAAACAACCAATTCTCTCTCTGTTGCTAGCCAGATCCAAAGACTATCTTAAACTTCACCCATCCAGTCTTGTTGGCAATACCAACAAGAGAAACTGAAAAGAAGGGGACTCTCATATTGGGGGTAAAAAGAAAGGGAAGAGCTGGGCTTGGTGGCCTATGCCTGTAATCCCAGGGGCTCAGAGGCTGAGGTAGGAGGATCATAAGTTCAAAGCCAGCCTCAGCAATTTAGTGAGGCCCTAAGTAACTCAGCAAAATCCTGTCTCTAAATAAAATATAAAAAGGGCTGTGGATGTRGTTCAATGGTTAAGCACCCCAGGTTCAATGCCTGGAGACCAAAAAAAGAAAGAAGAGAAAAAAGGGAGGGGCCAAAAAAAAATCAAATTTTATTTTTTTCCCCACATAAGAATTTTTATTTTTTTCCATTTTGAAGGTACATTCAAATTATACATAATGCTGTAATTCACTGTTGTATATTCATACCTGCACATAATTTAACAATATAATTTGGTCAGTGTCATTCCCTATCATCTCCCTTTTCCTTCCCTTCTATCCTCTCCCTGGTCCCTTTTCTCTAGTCTACTGATCTCCCTTTGAACAAATTGAATTTTAATCCTGTGATTGCAAGGTGATAATGGAATCTTCAAATAGTTTGCAAACTGAAATACGAGTTTGGGAAAGATGTCAGTGCTATAAATTTTTCTAAAGAATTGTTGCTTCCAAAATGAATTTAATATATTCTACTGTCTATCAAGTAGAATAAATTTTTTTAAAAAATGAATTTAATGAAAAATATTAAGAAGAAAATAATGCTACTTAAGTATCAAATTTGGCAATTTTCTCATATTTCCTTCTGATCCTTTTTACATAGCTGCAATTCTAGATTAGATATGATGTTTTACATCTGAAAACAATCTAACCATCATTAAATTAAATACCTCCTACTGTCATTAATAAATGGAAGAGGCTGATGGATAAAACTGACACAATGCAATATAGAGTCACTTAAACTCTATAATTATTTTAACTTGAATAAGACCTCTACTTTTGTGGCTTCAGTTTCCTCATGTGCATATTGGGGATAATTATACTTAAAATATTCAGGGTTTTAAGAATTAGAAGAGGTACAAGTAGGTCCTCAACACATTTCAGATGCTCCACCTCTGTTGYTAATTTTGTTTTTTCCAATGTACCCTATCCAGGACCCAGTTTGAGTTGCTCAGGATTTATGATCCTTAATGGTTAAAACTCAGATGCTAAATGCCTGGACCAATGCGGAAAGATGATAAAAATCTCTTAATTCTTTAGCATTTCAGCACAGGGTCTTATGCAAAGATTACTTATTCTACCATCTGGTTAATGGATGTTAGTACATATGCTTGCTATGATGATACAGAAAAGTAGGGAATCTTAGGACTATTTTAAACAAAGCATTGAGTTTAGATGCTTGTTACAAAAATCCAGTGATTAACCTAAAATGAAAGGAAAAACCTAGTTCCATGAAGTTATACAGTCTTAATTATGTATTCATTCCAGCCAATGCACTGCAATCATTTTCATTTGAGTTGCTTCCAGTTTTGCAAAGATGAATTTCTTATCATTTGATATGAGTCAGCTGGACTCCTTTGGAACCAAAGCTTTCATACAGACTGCAACAGGACCCAGGAGTAGTGTGCTGTTCAAAGCACAATTAGGATTTCTGCTTATGGCTGGCTCAGGTGTAAAATAGAGCTTAGATTTCCAGCAAAAAGACCCACCACTCTAATTAGACACTGTTAAACTTTTTATGTGTTCCCAGCTATTATTAACTGATTAAAAAAAAAAAAAATCTTCGCATCCAACCCATCTTTTCCTAGAATCCAATCTCTTTATCTTCCAATTTATTCCTAGTGGTTAGAAATAAAAATGTGAAACTAGAAACTTGAAATACTTACTAATAAGGCAGTGCATGTCTTGAGAATATCGAGAGTTATCAGGAATTGTGAAGTTTCCATCACAAATTGCCACCTGACTCTCCCCAAATGGCAAAGTGAAGTAGCATAATTTATACAACAAACATCCCAGGGCCTAAAAAAAAAAAAAAAAGAAAAGAAAGCAGATTGCTATTAGTGGTTTATTTACCATAATTGCAAGTGGATCTAATCAAAGATACTGGCACCATCCATATTTACTAGCACATACAAAAACTATATATTATCATTCTATTAGAAAATTGAATTTAGAACTCACTGTGGCTAATTAGCAGCCAAATTACATTATTTCTACCAATATTACCAAATTCTGCTCTAGTAAAGAACAGATATATTTCCTATTTTGCTCTTAAGAACCAGAAAAATGTAAGTGAAGGCCATGTGAATAATTATCAAAGAAGTAGGTCTAAAGTAATTTTCTTTTCATGTTTCAAGAAGCAGTGGCTGGTCCCCTCACATCACGAACCGCTCCAGTGGAGAAGGAGACAATGGTATGGTACAGGTGCTACCAAGCTATACYACTGTATGCATTAAACTTGGGAGTTTACAGCCAATGACTAATGATATCTGGGGTGTGGATAGGTTAGTCGACACCTACCCAAATGTCTGCCTTCGTAGTGATGATTTTGCCACTGTACAAGTTGACCATTTCTGGTGCTCGATAGGACAGCGTTGTGTATCTACAATCAAAAGATTCATTTTTTGTTAAATATATCAATGCTAAAATTATAAACCAGGAGGAGCAGAATTTTTTTTTTACATTAATAGAACCTAATTCCCTGGGAGCAATTTGCAGAAGAGACTATGAAATATCAGTGCAGATAAAATGAAAGGCTGTCCTCAGTACAATGATATCACCACACTGTGGCCCTAAGCAGCAGGCCTCCTAATCTAAGAACATGGGGGGGGGGGGCAGAACAAGTGCACTAGGTAAGCCCTAACAGCAACTTTTCTTGCATCCTGAAATGACAAAATCTTCTCCCATGAATCCTTGTTGTCTGATACTGTATTGAGCTTATTTGTTTTTTTAAAAATAGAAAACCCTTTAAATGTGACTCAACAGAGATGCAGCACTGACTGGGATATTTTGGAGAACAACAGACAGTGGGCCCCAGCTGGGGTGGGGTGGATGGGGTCAAGAACCCTTGATCTCTGCTCCTGGAACAAGACTTAAGTAACAGTGTTCTTATCTCTGGCGTAAGAGTAACATAAGCACACCCTCACAGTGAGCATTTGGTGTTACCAAGTATGTGATTTGTGCTGTTTAAATCTCTAGATTCCAGATGGGACTGGTTTAAGTGTCCACCAGGGCAAAGCACCTAGACTAGAAGTTGTCTTGCCCCAGGCCTGGTTTCCTGGGGTGATGCATGAAAGGGGAGTGAGGATCTGATTTAGGCATGCATGCTAGATAGGTCAGGCTCTAACTGGACCCACAAATTTAAAGCTATTTCTCATGGAAGTCAGTGATTCAGTGTCTGTAGTGACTTCAATAGCCCCACTCATCATTAATTCCACTGGGCTGTGGGTGAGCTCCTCATGAGCAGGAAGGAAGCAAAGTTCAGTAAAAAGGGTTCAGTTAAGAAGCACATCTGTCTGACAGTGTCACATTAGTTGTGATAACACTCGGAAATATCATAGTCCTTTCATGGTGTGGTTATCACTTAACTTTTTGTGAGCATGTGATGTCATAAATCAAAATATACATATCATAGGACCACTGAAAAGTGTTTCAGGATTCCTTCATTTTACTCTACTGATCCACGCCTGTGAATCCCTCCTCATCCTTCTCTTAAAATCAAACCACCCAAATGGTGAACAGAATACGCCGAGATGAAGGATAACTGACTGGTACCATTTTCTTCCCATTCTGACCATCTCATTCACAAGCTACAAGTAAAGTTACTTATCTGATAATGGACAAACTTCCAAGAAAGGAGAAAAAGCTTACTTCTTAATCTCATCTTCCACTGCATTAACTCCTTCAGTTTGTGGATTCTGGAATTTGTTGGTGGCACTGCCAAAGTCACACAGGACATAGTGGCCTCGGTCATGCAAGAGGATATTTTCAACCTGAAAAACATTCCCCAAATACCCATTTCAAGATATTGTTTAGTACTGCATTTGAAAATGTGCTTTTACAGTCACATAAATAAAATATTTTATTTCTGGCAATCTTGTTATTGTGTACATTTAAGTTATTCCCCATYGAGCATCTCAATAGGGGCCATCCCAAGTGGAACAAAATGAGAGGCACAGGAACAGGGTGAAATGAGGACAGAAAGGGCAAAGAGGGAACTCCACAGTGGGGGAAGCCAGAGTTCCATTTTTCCAAATTTCCAGTCACGTTTCTCACCTCTGCAGAGATCTCATACGTTTTGAGTTCTTACTCTTCTTTCATTCTGGAATGCTCTCCATGATTCCCCACCTTCCTATCCAATTACTAAATTATCAGTTGTCTTTCAAACCCAAGTTCAAAGATAACTTCCTTTTTGAATTTTCCCCCCATTCAGACAAATGTCACTCCTTCCTTATTTTCCTTCAGTACCTCATTCTCCCACGATGTCAATTACTTCACCTGGACATTTAATAATGTTTTTAAAAATCAATCAATCAATCAATCAATGTCTTTACTAGGTTAGGATTTTCAGAATTGGTATTTTTATATTTTAATTACTTCTCAAAGTAATAAAATGCCTAATGGTAAGTGGGAGTTTCCCTGTTAAAATATTGCCATCTTGTATTTTTGTTTTTCTATAAATGAAATATTTGGGCAGTGAGGAGTTCTAAGTTAGCAGGGAATTTATAAGAACCAAAACCTAGAGAAATCCCGGGTATCAAAGGCCTCTTTCTATGAAAACAACTCCAAAATAGAGGGCACTGTGTTCTCAAGATGAATTCCTGGTGTAGGAAAACTGAGCTGACTGGTGTGCTGGAGGACAGACCTGGCTATGCGTGGGCAGTAAAATGGCAGCCAAAAAATCTTGTTAGGCCAATAAGACTGTAGTCTCCATTGTCTTTTGTCTTCAGCCTTTCAAAGACTGATCACCTTTGGAAAACAAAGGCAAGAGTAGACTATAAGCTCCTTAAAGACAAGCATCACCCCTTAATCATATTTGTCGTCTTCTCTACCCAGTACCTACACATAGGTATAGTATATGCTTGGTATAGAAAATGTTTGTTGAATGGAGTAAGCCAAAAACCAGAATTACACATAACACTGTTTGTATGCATGTGCACATGCACACGTGTGTGCACTAGTGCTGTGTACGCACTGGTCTGTTAGAAGAAGTAGGAGTCACCAAAAACCCAGATCCTACTAGTTCTTTTAAAATATCTGGGCAATTACGGTAATCTTACACTTATTTCTCAATTTTCTTTTAATTCTTGTTAACATTAAATTAAGTACAATTTTTAGTCTACATCTGTTAATTTCAATTATTTTAAGTCTGTGCTGCAAACTGATTCGGCCATTTATTATTTCTTATTCCTACTGAACTTCACTCATGGTATCACTGTTGTGAGCAGTTTTTTGTTGTTAACTTACATTCCTTAGAATGTCATCTGTAGGAAGTCTTTGAGACCCCTGGGTTTAAGGTGTACTATTCTGCCAGAGAGGACAAGAAGGATAGTGCTGGTGTACCTGGGGACACTACTAACCTACATTTGCTTGATTCTAAAATTTTGATCTTGGCATTAGCCACAGAAGCAGTGAACAAAGCCCATAAACCTCTACAGATACACTCTTATGATAAAGAATTCATATCACATAACTGAATTAAGAATAACTTGGACATATTTGTTCCCTTGAATTAAGATGGAGGCAGACAAATATTTCTGCTGCCTATAGCTTTTTATAAAGCTCATTTGTTTATTTTATTTACACAAAAAGAAACAGGCTATGCTGAGCATGTACTTATTTTAGGAATCTAAAATAGTTCCAACAAAGCAGTAATAATGTTTTCAATTTAATTTAAAAGTTATAAAGTAATAGTCACAATTTAATGAGCTTTTACTATTGCCAGTACTACTGTATTTGTCACATGGATTAKTCCACTAAATCCTCATAATAATAATGTTATTATTATCATCATATTGTAGATGGAGAAAGTAAGACACTTAAGTCACTTCTAAATGTCATGCAGTTTGAGAAGAAGATCACCACTAATCAGGGACGAGAGGGGGGAAGGAAAGAGAGAGAGAAGGGAAATTGCATGGTAAAGAAAGGAGACCCTCACTGTTATACAAAATTACATATAAGAGGAAGTGAGGGGAAAGGGGAGAAAAAAAACAAGAGAGAGAAATGAATTACAGTAGATGGGATAGGGAGAGAAGATGGGAGGGGAGGGGAGGGGAGGGGGGATAGTAGAGGATAGGAAAGGCAGCAGAATACAACAGACACTAGTATGGCAGTAGGTAAAAAAGTGGATGTGTAACCAATGTGAATCCGCAATATGTATATAGGGTAAAAACGGGAGTTCATAATCCACTTGAATCAAATGTATGAAATATGATATGTCAAGAACTTTGTAATGTTTTGAACAACTAATAATAAAAAAAAGAAAAAATAAATAAAATATAAATGTCATGCAGCAAATATATGGTATAGCTGGGAATTGCTCAAAGCAAACTAACTGTGGATGTGGACAATAGATTTCTACTAGTGCAAGAAGCAGGTCAAAATAAGAGGCCCCACACTGACCCTCCAACTATGGTAAGGGTTGTGATGACTTTACCCTTGCCCAGTACTTTGGTCTGGGCTTAAGAGTCCAGAAAATGCTCCAACCACAGAATCTAGTCAATGAGGAGCCAAGTGTCTAAATGCTAGCCAGGTTTGCTCAAGGTCTCCCAAGGATTCCTTATATTACCTATTTTTTCTTTTATTTAATTGCTCTCTCTTCAGTCAAATCCCAGATATTTCTCAAGACCTTGCTCAAGTCATAACTTCTCAGAAAAACCTTCCATAACTTCCCTACAAAATCTACAAAATTTAGTGTCAACAGGAGGAGTCATAAAGGCCTTTGGGCCAAAGCAAGCCATGCCCATTGGTTACTTATTCTGTAGTCTATGGCTGCTTTTGTCTGACAGCAGAGTTTAACACTTAAAACAGAGACTGTATGGCTGACAAGCTTGAGATATTTACTGTCCAGCCCTCTGCAGAAGTTTGCCAACTCTGGTCTATAATGAACACTCAATCATCATTTAGAATTCTTTTGTGGACTGGTATTTAATTTCTTACAAATTATGCTTACTTTCCCAAATAAAGCACAAAACCTATGAAGCCAGGACATTGTACTATACCCATGAATGCTCCACACTGTCTAATCCAGTACTTTTCTCACACCACAGACCCTTAAATGGTGCTGATAACATCACTTACTCAGCATCTTCAGCAACAGTCTCCTCCCTGGGCCTTACTGCTCATGTGAAACCAAGCCTCTCTGTACTCCCTTTCTGAGTCGACTTCTATACTTCTAATGCTGGGATGTACATCTAGAAAACTGGAAAATTAATTCACAGTAAAGCACTAAGAAGGCAGTTGGAGGGACTATAAAACTGCTGTTGTGGGAGGTAGGAGGACTAAGTAGACAAAAAATAAAAAGGAGGCAGACTTGTCCTGATAAGGACAGCARTTACTGCTCTGGTGCTTTGCGCATTTATGAGAGGATCAAATGAGATTATAAAGGTGAAATCTCTTGGCAGTGGCCACCTTAGCAATTGGTGCAATTTCCATTCTCAATGTGTCCTTTAACTTGTGCTCCTATGAAAACCTCCAAGGTCAACCACCATCACACTAAAACACTCCTCAGAGAGCATGGTATATGGTAGCAACACTGGGATTAGGCAGAAAAAACACCTCAAGGATTATTTTTGAGGTTGACCTTGATCAAATGTTTAACCCTTTTTTGAGTGTGTTTCTCATCTGCAACATTAAGCTGATAATATTTGTTGTAACAAAGCAACTTAGAAAATGAATGTGAAAGTAAACCACAAATCTCCTCATATAAATATAAGACATTGCTTCCATTCATTTATGAAAGAAATGTGTTTGAATTCCTACTGCAATGCCAAGTAGTTTTCTAGGTTTCAGGAAAAACGTGATGAACAAAACAAAGGCCAACCTCTCATGGGGTTTACTGTCCAGCTGGGGATAATAAGAAATTAATTATAACTGTCTGGTAGTGGCAAATGTTATTTAAAAATTCTAGCAGGCTAAATCTATATAAGGTGAAGAGGGATGTTACTTTAAATAGCAGTTAGGGACGGTTTCTCTGATGAGGGAAGCAGAGGCATGAATAAAGAAGGAGCAGCCATGAACCATCTGACTGAAGAACATTCTGAGCAAAAACCAGTTAGCACCAAGAACTTGATATGGATGTGTGCTTGAGGTGTTGGAGGCATGGAGACAGGCCAGTTGACAGTGGACTAGCATTGTATTTAGCCTTGGTGGCGGGGGAGGGGGCGTTGAAAACATGGGATAAGTCTATTATCAGCCAGTGCATGGGAAGTTCAGACTGGTGAAAGAGAAAAGAGAAAAGGAGAGAGGACCAGAGAAGTAGACAAAGGGAAGTGAGAAGGGTCACTTAGGAGGATAAAGTATTTTTAAGAGGTCAAGAGCACAAACACATAGACATTTTAGGAAATCAGTTTAGTCAAAGTTGAGGAAAAATAAGAGAAAGAAAGTTGGGCATGGGTGCATGCCTGAATCTTAGTGAGGAGGATCCCAAGTTCAAGGCCAGCTTCAGCAATTTAGCAAGGCCCTAACCAACTTAGTGACACCCTGTCTCAAAACAAACAAACAAACAAAAAAACTTAAAAAGTGACAGGGGACTGGGGATATAGCTCAGGGGTAAAGTGGTAGAGCACTCCTGGATTAAAATGAGAACAGGTACAAATGGTCCAGGTGTGAGGTGAGTAAGGCCGGGTACAGGGTAAGATATATAGTGTAGCTATGGAAAGGGGTAGATGGTGAGGTAAACYACCAAGCGATGTTCATACACTATCTGCCAAACACATCAGAGAACATGYGTAGTAATGTCATTTTGGTAAAACCATTTAAGATGTAAGCCAAA